AGTACTATTTTACAACAGCAGTCATGTAATGGTGCTTTATACTATAAGGTAAAGAACCTACAATATAAGAGTGAGAGCCCCAATGGGCCAGTGATTCCCCGTGAGAAAACTCTTGGCAAAAATTCAGCAATTACTCAATGCCATGGTTGCTGCCAAAGGAGCTTCCGCAAAGTGCTAAATGAAGAGTCTGAAAAATTTTCATTTTCATTTCAGATTTTTTATTAATTGCAAGTTGCAGAAAAAAAAGCATGTTTGCAATTATTAATTATTGAGTGTTGATGGGTAAATTGCATCTCATAATATTTACAAATTAAATATACAACACAATAACATGTCCAATAACTGAAAGTGGGTGAACCTTGTGTTTTTGTAATGAAGTTTAAACATAAAAAACTATGCTGATCTTTTTTGCATATATGCATATATTTTGTATATGCCTGTAATTCAAAATATATAGCTATAAATTCCCCACAAAGTTTATGTTTTTAAATCATTTTTACAGTATATTAAATAATGTATCCAGCTTTTCATTCCTATGCATGTTAACCTTCATGATGGGATTTGGCCCAGGTCTGTGAGTGTGTTTACTCATGTCTCTGTTGGTCGGGGTGTGTGTGTGCGTGAATCACAGGGGGCTTCTCTTCCCTGTTTGGCTCCGATTTTGGCAGCCCTCTGTATTCTGCCATGCATACGGAAACATGCAGGAGTGGGCCTGGAATCAAGGTCAGGCCTGGAAAATGATGTAGGAACACTCCTAAAACCTGAATTTCTGCTGAGTTTGGCATTGTGCTCGCTGTCCCCCGAGGCCACAGCCAGGAGTCACCCATCATGCTTATCCAGACCAACCTGTAATGAGCTGCTGGAAGACGTTCCGATGTAGGAGTAGTGTTTGGAGACTGTTGGCACGATAGTTCTGTTGAAGAGACTACATGGTCTTCTGGCACAAAACTAGGGTCAACTTCAAACTCCCATAGATTAAATGTTACTTAGTGGTAACCTCCATATGTGAAGGAACACACTAAAAATCTCAAAATATAGCAGGTGAGGAAGATATTCAAAAAGTATTTGAATTTTAAAGTGTAATAAGTCAAGAAACTTCTAACAAATAAAAGTTAAATGAAAGCAATTTTAAAACAAAAACACATCATCCAGTTCAGCACCACAATTTTTTTGACCTAATCCAGGGTCAAAAAAATCCTAATTTACTTCCTACAAGTGTTAGGAGGCAAGAGCGCATAGACTGAAAGTACAAAGACACAGAGATCAGAGAGCCCCCATACCACTTTTGTGCTGACCTTAAAAGGAGCAGCGCACTGTGCAAACATCTGGTCCATCAGCTGGATCCTATGCATCAGCGGGCACAGGGACACACTGGGACAGGTTGGCGGCTGCCTTTGACAGCAACAGTTAATTTCCAACATAATCAATTTATGTGCAGCTCCATAATAACCATCTGTGTTCTGCATGAGGAGGACAGTCCTGAGGAACGAACAGTGCTGGCTGCTCCTCCTCTCCATGGGCGACGCCAGGAGCAAAAGGGAGAAGTAAGCGAAGGAGTTGGAAAATGGGGAAGCGAGGAGTTAATGAAGTAGGTGGGTGAGTTGAAAGTGTAAGAGGGGTTGTTGCAAGAGTTAGGTAAAGATCAAGTGGGCTAGGAGAAGTAAGAAGAGAGAGGGAAGTAGGTGATGATGAAGAGGTCAAAAAAGGAAAGATGATGGAATTAGGCGACTGTTTCTAAAATAGCCAGGGGCAAGGGCACTTAAGCGGTCGAACTCACATCAGTCAGAGGATGTGAAAAAAAATCCCTGTTTCATTTCATTACACGATGCAAATACAATGAATGAACGAAGTAGGTCTCCACAACATTTTCCTGCTATAAATGTGGTTTGCTACCAAGGTTAGCTCCCTTGGCACTTGAAAGCCACCGCATCCTCATCCACCTCCAATGTCAAAATTTGCCAGGGAAGGTGTCACTCAGGCGATTACTGAATCACCTTAGTGAGCCAATTACACTGCAGGCTGTCAAAGCCAATAGCAAACAGTGCCTCACGCACAGACACCCACAGCTTGGCTAGTGTGAAACAAAACATGAAAACAGAATTAAGCTCTGGTGACCCTTCACCCCGCGACATGCAATTTTCATAAGAGTAATCAGCATAATGTGCTAGTCTGCACATAACTTCTGACTTGTTTTGACCCTAAAAGGAATGTTTGTGTGCTTCATAAATTTTGTAAGACTTTCTTTGAAGGTCATGTCTGTAATGCATTCTAAACTTTAGACATTAGAATACAATTATGAGGATTTAGATCATTCTCAAATATATGTTCTTAATCACACAAGACAACAAGGTCTATAAAGCATAAGTGTATCTCCATGACAACGGGATGGCACTGGCTGAAAGATTACAAGTCCTGAGTTGTGCAGCTTATAAATTATCTTTCTCTCAAAACTACATGAAGACTCTAAAACTACTTTCTAAATGTGGTTGCTAATAACAGCGGTGTCAGTTTAAAGTCAATTTATGAGCTTATTTCATATCAGAAACTTGGAATTTATCAGTTGTTACGATACATTTAAAGATATCTCTGTGGTACAGTTATGGTTTACCCGTTGTCACTTTGGCATGGAGGCAAAAGGCATAATAGAGACTTGACTCAATTTATATGATAGTATATTCAAACTTAAAGTATTTTGTATACCTTATTGCAAGTTTTTATGCAAGATTATAAATATTAGGAGTATACTGTAACGTCCCCGAATGCACTTCAGGGATGTGGCGCAAAGTGCTTTTATCACCCAGTCTTTTGCAGACTGAAACCTCAGCCATGTTGTTCTGGTTAAGGAGTGAATGAAAATCACAATTTCCCATCTTTTTCTCAGGTAGTCTTCAAATACAATGCACCGTTTCCCTCTTTTGCCTTGTGATGTGTGCACAAAAGTAGAACTTACAAGCATACAAACACATGTGAGTCCACACAAGTCAACTCGCATGGAATCCACCTGCCAGTGCGAACCTGATGAGTGCATGTGATCCCTTCTGAACTTTATATATATTTTTACACTCCTACTACTGCGAGACCTCAGAACGGTCCATCCAACCTGTCATGCATTATACATGTGCTGTGTGAATGTCCATGTGTCCCTATACATCCTCTGCCATCCTAATTGACATGCAGTGGGCCCTAGCAGCTGTGAAGCTCTCTATCTCTGTGTGTGAAAGAGTGTGTGCGTGGTGTGTATAGCTCTCAGTAAAGCCCCTGCATCCTCTAGGCCACCTGGACATAATGGCCTTCAGCTGCCACCATCACCACCAGTATAAGCAGCAGCAAGAGCTGAGAGAGACCCATTTCTAACACATGCACCCATTTTCTTTTTATGACACATGGACCTCTGCTACTGTTCATTTAGCTGTGTGCAAGGAGAAAACAGACAAAGTGACAAGCACAGACCCTCTCACACCCGTACTGTATCCCTACTGATACCACATTTTGCTTTTTTAGGATTTCAGCCGCTGAACAATTAGGGGCCTCCTCTGTCTAATATTTTAATGTTTCATTTTATGTTGAAGTCTATCGCAGCTGACACGGGGCAAAAGGCACGATATACATGTCACCACCCAATCACAGGGGCAACATAGAGACACACAAACATGTCACTAACTATTTAGAATGAATTATCCAACAAGCTTATCTCTGATTGTTAGAGGCACCCGAAGAACAAGTGGCCTTGTGGTTTCAGATCAGGAAATTTCTTGCTGTGAGTGTTAACCACTTCACCCAAACTGTTCAGTTCAGTTCTGCCACACGTGAGGAACAGTACAGCTAAGAGATAACAAAGCGTGCCGGAAGCTAATAGCAATGGGTTGGCAGTTTGGAGGTACTTAACACGCCAGCAGTCTTTCCTTTAATGTTTCTTTTCTGTTTTATGCTCAGTCTCAGTCTAATTATGTTCTGCGTAACCCTTGTAGTTCAAAATTTTATTGAAAGTGCGGTAACATAATGTGTTTTCGTCAACTATACTAATATCGCTTCACTTTACCATCTTCCTATCAGCTTCGATCCACACGCAACACGTGTGTATTGTATGTCTGTGTCTGTGTGTGAGCAAGTGCACTCTCACAGAGAGCAGGGAAAGGAGAAACTAGAAAATAAGCACCTTCATGACTTTGCCAAACATAAGTTCATCAGGGATTATTAATTGTTCTGATTCTGATTGAGTTGAAATGAGACTAGTGGAAATAAATTGTTGAGTAATGGAAATAATTTTAGGTTTTTTATGCTGTCATTTATAAACAAATGCCAATTATGAATATACAACTGTATATTTTAATATATGCAAGATTTTTGTTATTATTTTACAAACCTGGAAAAGAATTATTTGATATTACCTAAAAAAATTATCCTCAGTATCTTCCTCAAAGGGATTCATACAATGAGTGGTATTTACTACTGGTATTAAATTGATTGTTTGTATTGGCAGATACCAACTGCTGTCTTATTCTGGGAAGACCTTGCATATTCCACCAGGACATTAAAACAACTTAAAACAATTAATATTAAAACGACAATTTAAAAAGAGCATAAAATTTTAAAAACCTATTTTGGCTTTGGAAACGGTTGATGATTTTTATCCTAACCCCTAGGATTTAACTTTAAAGTAAAGGTAATTCTAATGAGTGTAGATGAACTGTACTTTACAGAGCTGCAGATTTTTTTAAATTTAAATTGCATTTCAAGCAACTGTCTCTATGGCAAAGAAATAGAGAAGCTTTAATTGCAACCTCTGATATGTTCTTTGTTCACAGTGTAAGTAAGATCTACCGTGTACACGTGTGTGATGAGGGCTTTTTTTTTTTGCCTTCTTCCTCATCTTGAAGTCTTGATTCAATATTTTTTCTCCTTTCCTATATCCGAAGCCTTTGATTCTGTCCTGCTTCTCAATTCTTCATGGAACTCCAACATTTCAAAGACTTCTTCTTCTCTCCCCTCCTCCTTCCCAGGCGGAGTGCTGGCCAAGTCTGGGAGAGGGACTGCCCATCAGAGGTTGGCTGCTATCAGCAGGGGGCCGCATGTCTCCAATTCAGGTCAGCCTTGGCTACAGACGGGGACTTAAAAGCAAGCCACAACGTGTCCTGTGATCCCAGTAAGCACGCTTGTTAGTGGAATTGATAACGGACCCATACACCTGGGTCCTCTGAAGTTGGCATGGCATTTTAAAGGGGAAGACAGGGAGCCAGGGCAGCCAGATACCGCATGAAAACGTGTCAAACTGAGGAAAGGAGGGATGGGGGGGAAAGGTCTTTTTGGCATGTGACGAAACAGAATATGTTTGAGGGAGCGACCTAGAACATTGTGGAATAATGTACAAATACAGGGCATATGGCATGGAATCATTCTGAGAATCCGAAATATGTTTTGGCTCTATCGTGTTACCCCCTGTAATGTTCTTGCACAAAGTTTGAGTCATAACTAAATGATTACCAAACGTGTGCAGACACATGCTTGAGTCATAATGTTGCATTCTTATATTCAAATGATTTTTTTTTTATGAATTGTATATTTAAGCTTCATATGTTTCTGCATGTGTGGATTTTGGTGACAGCAGTGCACCTAATACACTATGTGCCACCATTTCCCTTCCAAATAACAGTAATACAAGCGCCATGTTCAGATGCCACATTTATGATAATCAGAGTATAATTCATTTATTGAGTCTACCTTTGCCATGTGTTGACCCCACGGCCATGTTGCCAGCTCACATCTGGCTGCATGGTGCGGCGCTCAGTCCTGGATGGGATTTGCCCCTGGTGATGGGGCATCTGGGAGGCCAGATGAAGCTGAGGCTTGATGAGTGCTTTGTCTATTATGGATATGGGGCTTTATGGAGACATTGACAGCTGCACATTGACAGTCTCCTGAGCAGGAGGCCTACTTCAGCAGTTGTGCTCTTGCTGTTGTCTAGAACAGAGAACAAGTGCAGAGCTTTAAATATTAAATGGATTCTAAGCTTGCTAGCGCAGGTTTCAAGTCAAACCTTCATTTAAAGGGAAGAAGGAGGATGATTTATCTCTGGATTATTAAGCTTAGTTGTGAACTTTTAGATTATTAAAATGTTGAACTTACATATTTGAAAATACATGAATTAAAAATATATTGCCACTTAGTCAAACTCCTAATCGTCTGCATGGAAGCTGCAACAACTAGAATCAATGCATGTTTCAAAAAATGATACCAATCAAGCTGTCAAAACGAGGTTGCAACCGAATGAAACCATCAGTGCATCTGTTGTGCGTCCTGGCACTCCTAAGTGATAGGTTGCGGATCGGAGAGGTGGATGGAGAGAGCGGAACGAGGAACTCGAATGAAAGATTATCCAACGACAAGAGACATGTAGCTACAGACCAGGCAAACCGAGCTGACGTTCTCCAACCTTCCCTCCTGCCCGCCATTTGTGAAGGATTTGGGGATTTCATAATTTCCTGTTCTTTCTGAAAGGGGGATGGCAGCACCTGGTCCACACAGCTGTACTTCATTTAGAGAGCAATTTGAAAAGAGCGAGGGGGAGAGGAGAGGAGCGAAGCAGCCTTGTCATTAAGGGCTCCAGAATGGCCTCCGTTTGTTAGACACATGGCACAGAGTTAATGCCGCTGAATGGGGAATAGGCGCTGTTGATGCTGTCACAAATTTCTCATAAGTGCTATGACATCTGAAAAAGCCACTCCAAGAGCAGGGAGGGGGAAATTCAAATTTTCCTTATCAAAGAGGGGTTTTTTGTAGGTAATTGACAGCTGTGGCTAGGATGTAAGCATGTGTTTCTGTCTTTTAAGATGGATATTCTATTTGTGTATCATTTCATCTTTCGTACACCTTGAAGTTTGTTGTGCGTGCAGGTGATGGCGGCGGTGGAGTTTATATCAATGAGCTGACAATGAGAATAATAAGAAGATTGTTGGTAAACTAAGGTGATGCAAAAGGTTTGTTGTGCGGATGCGCAGCTGCCTTGCCTCTTCAGAGTTGATCTAATTGATTTTGACATGCACATGTGCAGGGGGGGAAAAATAGTGAGGCGGGATCAAAGGCAAACGCTTTATTGCCACATCACAGGCCCCTGCTGCATTTTGAATTCTACCAATCTGTCCAAACAGTCAGATAAAATCCTGCGATGAAGAGATGTGCTTCTCTCTTTCTAGTTCACTTGCTCTACCCCTCCTCTTCTCCTCTCTCTCTGTCTGTCTACCTTGACTGCTCTTTCTTGCTCTTCCTTTCCTTCAGAGTAATTCCCGAGCGGTAATAAGTGATGCAAGAGTCACCAGGGCACTATGAAAACACTGAGCCACAAAGGTAAAAGCAGCTTCCACAACAACATGTCAGAGACTTGACAGATGCTGAAGGACTAAAAAACAAAAGATTTAAACAAAATTTAAGTTTGTGAGTTACAGAAACTGCCATGTATGAAACACTTTGCACTACATGGTAAAAAAATGTCAAGAGTGAGATTCCGTTCAGTTGGTGAGGAGCGATGAGTAACAGCAAAAGTTTATGGAAATCAAGTTGAATTCATTTAAGCATACTGTCAATACCAGTGACGCCATGGAGCAGCAACTGAACAAATCTGGGAAAGAAAGCCAGAGTTGAATGGCTGGATTGCATGAGTCTTATTCAAAGATAAACAAAATGCTTTGTAAGAAACCAAAAATAGAAAGGATGACAGTCTGAGATTCAAGACTTAGTATCATTCTGTTTCTGAAAAATTATTTAAAGCTCACATTTAAGTAGGTCGGCAGCACGCACAATAGAAACCGCCTTCTTTTCACACCCGGCTACCTCACACAGTTTGTTTTTGAGGTGTGTGCATCGCAGCTGTCTTTTCTTTTTTCTGTAGTTAGACATCTAGACCGCTCAGTGAGCAATAGGCCCGTGCTCTGTGCTCACCGTTAATGGGATGTTGGTGTGCAGGGCTGAAAGCATGTGCCTGAGTCTGTGGGCAGAGTGTAATAAAAGAACCACAGTTGGACTAACCATGCTGAGCTCAAAAAGCTACATAGAGAAGATGAGAACATGCACACATGCAAAAGTGGTGCACACACACACACACACACACACACACCTGCCAGGTGTGTGAGGAGGCTGTGTGATACGGAGCCAGGCTCCCACAACCAACCAGTCTCAGAGAGCTGTGCTTCACAAATGAGTCAGAAACAAATCCTGGTAACAAGCACAGCAATAGAGCAACTGCCTTTAACCCAGCCATCCTCTTCCACAGCAATATAATATATAATACATTTGCTCGCTGAGTTTCACCTCGAGCTGTATTTCTGTTCCAACATTCACTGACACTGACATAACAATGATGGATTCCTCTGCAGGAACTGGAACCAAGAAGCATCCCTTACAAAAATCCAACAACTTGATGAGATCTGTATGAAAACTTGCGAGTGGGCTCTGCTGTTTGTCAAGTGTGCCTTTGGCAGGGCAGTGGTGGTAGTGATGGCTGTGGGTGGTGGTGGGGGTGGAGGGGGTCAGAGGGGCTCTTGGCTGCTCTCCTCCCTCCTGTCAGCCCCCTCTCTCGGCCAGGCAGGCAGGCTGTGTTGGGCGGCCCGGCTCCTCGGTAGCAGATGCGAGCCCTCATGTCAGAGGCAGGCAGTGGCCCGACGGAGTGCCGCTCGTGCTCATACCTCATTGAGCCATCTCCCCTAGCAGATGGCGCGCTGCTGCGGGCGCTCCTCTCCCCGATAATTACCAGGCCTCGCCACAGATGGAAATGTCAGTCAGCCTCACAGGTCCTGGTTCCTGCCACTGCCTCCGTCCGCGGCCCCTCTACCTAGGCCGGGCGCTGCCAACACTCACCATGTGTTCTGTGACTGCTGACTAGGCAGGCAACAAAAGAGAAATCCACCCACATGAATATTCATGCAGGGATGTTAGGTGGCTAGCTGTAGACCAGGCTGGGTACTGGCAAATAGTTGGCCAGGTGCAGGTTGTGACACCGATTTCCAACCTTTTTTGTCTTCCACTTCTATAGTGTGTCACCGTTCACGTTTCATAGCACGGTGCCGAGAAGTGTGCCTTGATCAATCTTGTGCGTGCTGGAGAAAGAAAGGTGAAATTGTACATACTGCTTTGTACAGTTGTGGAATGACATATTTAGGAGATTAGGATAACTGTGTTTGCAAAATGGATTAATTCTAGCAGATGCCAGGACTAACCCCCACTTATCTGTGATAAGGTGACCAGATGTCTCAGCTTGGCAAAGGCAACACTCTCCGAGTTTTATTACTCCGCGCCAAAGCATCCCCAGAGAAATTTCTCTGTGCATTCACAGATAATCTACCTTCGCAGAGAACAAGGCGACAGGGTTTTGCCGCTTTGTGTATTTGTCCATGTAAGAATTTATGTGAACGTGTTGCCTGGTTGTAGAAAGCTCAAGAAGATTAAACTAAAGTAAATACCTTTGTGCCTAAGTGCCAGCATAGTGATGGAAAAGTAAGTAGTGGTTTCCTGAAAATACCACTTTGATATAGATATCGTACAATTAAGTTTCCCAGCAGAAAAAAATAACATTAAATGTTAAATCAGCAGGGATGACCTAACATCCCTGCATCTGTTTATTTCCAAACAGGAATCATACAACTTATATTATGATGTGTGTAGGTTAATGAAACTCAGCTCATGTCCATAAAAGTTGTGGTGTTGATTTGTAAACTATTTCCATTCAGTTTATTTGCATAGTGTTAATGTGCAACAACAGTCGCCTCAAGGCACTTTACATTGGAAGATGAAGACCGTACAATATTAGTAAGAAATCCTAACAATCAGTTAACCTGGTGTGATCTACCAGTTGGAGAGAGTGGGAAGGAAAAACTCCCTTTTAACAGGAAAAAGCCTCTGGCAGAAACAGGCTGCTGTGACCAGTTGTGGGTGGGGGGAGGGAAAAACCCATTTGAAAGTCAGTTTGTTGTCGCTCCATTCCAACTTTACATATTGCTGGCTTCAAATTCAAAATTTTGGGTATATTTTCTCAAAAACAGTCAAATTTGATTAGGGTTTAAACGATATGCAAATCACTGAATTTAGATACACATTA